CTCCCAGCCAGGCCGGTCCGCCAGCCCTGCCTCGGCGTCTCCCTGCCAGTGCCGTCAACCCCGGGTCCCCTCCTCTGAACCCCAATTCTCTGCCCCTCCAGGATCCGCCCGCTGGCCCAGCCGTGGGCAGCCTTTCAGGAAGCCGGTGCCACCTTTCCTGGGCCCAGGGCCCTGCCCGGTTTCTTCAAGGTCTCTCCACTCCTAGGCCTGGTGTTTATCTGACAAGCAGTCCTGTCCTTGGATTTCTGCCACCCCTGGGCCCCCCAGATGCCACCCAGGCCCTCTCTGGTCTCTTCCTCTCCCAGGAAGCCTTGGCCTCCAACCAAGCTCCAGGCCCCCAGCCCAGGCTCGGATTTCTAGGTCTGGGACCAGTCTGACTGCAGGCCTCATCCTCCCTGTATCGCTCCTCAGCTGCAGGCAAGCCCCCCCTCCAGCCCCTTGACCCCTTTCAGGCCCCTTCCTCACAGGCCGCCACCCCTTCCCCTAGACGTCCAGATCCCGTCCCTTCCCCTGTCCCAGGACCTCCCTTTCCCTTGCTGGGCTCTGGCCTCTCAAGGAGCTCCCTCCTTCCTCCCGAGGCCTGGGTCCCCTCCTGCTTCCAGAAGACTCCCAGATCTGAAGCCCCTGGTCCTACCCTGGCCCTGAGCGCTCTGCTCTGGGGTCACTCTGCTGAAGCCGCTCCCCAGGTTTCTAGGCCCTTGACCTCCCTCCAGGTTCAGCTCAGCCCTCTGCACTGCCCCTCGCCCAGGCAACCCCTTCCTCCGAACTGCCAGGCCCACAGCCCCTTTCTGGTCCCGGCAGCTCCTGGCAGCCGCTTCTCTGTCCCGTGGGAGCTCCTGCATGCTCGGCCCTGGCCCGGGATCTCCACTGCCTTGTGGCTTTGTCTCTTCCCACCATTCCTGGACTCCCCAGCAAGACCTCTGCCCCATGCCCCATGTTTCCGATCGTTCCCGGTGCCCCTGAAGATCAGGCCACCAGCCATGGCCCGCTTCTCTTCAGCTGGGGTCTCTGTCCCTCCCCTCAGGCTTTCTGCCAGGTCCCCACTGTCCCCTTTGGTCAACTGTACCCCAGATCTCCATCAGACACCTGTCCTGCCCTTGATCTCCCTCAGGAGAACCCCTTCCAGCCACCATTGTTGCTGTTGGCCAGAAGTCCAACTGGGAGTTTTGGGCACGGCATCTCCCTTCCCGGTCACTAGGGGGAGACCCAGGCCGTGGTCCTGGGTCCGAGTGGTGGCTCTGCATACTAATTTGAGTTGTGTCCTCACCAACTGGTTCACCCACCCTGAGCCTCAATTTCCTGCCCTGGAAAATAGGGGTGACCACTTGAGTTTCTTAGGGTTACCCAAGATGATGTGGGTGAGGCCTGGCACAGAGGAAGGGCTCCTCCGAGGCTGTGTGACCGTGGGTGTGAGTCAGAAGGCCGGCCGCATGTTCGAAGCCCAGGGCTGTCATTAGTTGTGTGTCTCGGTGAGCCTGCCCGAGAGCCTCAGTCTCCTGGCTCTCAGTGGAGTTGATGATAGCACCTCCCTGCCAGGGACCTTTTCCGGAGGCTACATACCATTACTATTCTTACTTTAATTGTTTAAGCGAATTTGGGTTCCGATCAAGTTTTTCTGTTCCTCCCTAGCTGTGTGACCTGGGGCCAGTGACCTCACCTCTCTGGGCCTCTGTTTCTTAATCTGTAAAATGGGGCTCACCCAAGCACTTCCTCCTCTTTTGGTTGTTGCACTCTGGGCATTGGGGGGATTTCACCCTGACTACCTCTGTCCTGTTGTCCAGTGCTGCTTGTCCGTCCGTGCTGGCTGGGAGTTGCCTGTCTCTCTCCAGAATCAGAGGTTGTAGCCCCTTCCCCTGCTACCTGGTTACTATGGTGATAGCCACCTAGGGCTGTGCTTCCCAACCAGGGCTCTAGGCTGCTCCACCAGGGGCCAGCACCCCCCCCCCAGGTTCCCTAGCAACAGGCCTGGTATCGGAGCACCATCCTGGCGGGAGGGATCCGGGCCAGCTGGTAGTGCTGGCCAATCTTAGCTCCTGTGCCCAGCCCTGGGGACCTCTGTCACCCACTGTCCCAGCTGGCCCTGGCAGAGGTCTGGGGCACACTCCCTGCAGGAGGTGCTATGGCACCTCCCCCGGCTCCTGTGCCACCCAGCAGAGTTTCTTCTGTGTGCCTTTGTCTCAGTGGGGGTCGGAGGCCTAATTGGCGGGGATCTCCCTGCCCTCGCCTAGGAGGCCCCCCCAGATACCACAGTGAGTGGAGAGAGCCTGCTCCATCCGCCCTATGACCTTGATCCCGCCCCAGCTTTGGGGGAGCTCTTTGGGGGTCCCTGCCTGGAGAGTGCGCCTCAATACTGGACCCACACTGGAGCTCAGGTGGCAGGCACATGGTTGGTGCCAGTAAGTGGCAGTGGTGCGGTTCGTTACTGGCACTAAGGACGACTGTCTTAGCGTTGTGATCATCAGGCCCCTGTGAGTGGACAGTGCGACCTTGACCAGGCACCTTCCCTCCCGAGCCTCAGTTTCCCCTCTGGAATGTGGAGGTGCAGCAGCTTCTTCCTTGGGTACCTGTAGTACTGAACACAGGTGGGTGCTCATTGGCACAGGACATGGTCAGGGTGTCACCTGCTGCTGTGTGGGGACAGTGCGGGGACATGGTTAGGCCCAGCATCCCCCCCTGAGAAATGGGGTGTGGGTGCAGCAGTGCATCTCATTTGGAATGTGGGTCGTTGTCACCACGAAGCAGCCCCACACAGGTTCTCTTCAGGGGGCAGGTGCGGTGCCCTGGCTCCCTGGCTGCCTCTGTGCCTCGTCCTTTGTGGCCCAGCCTTCGCAGAGCCACGCTGGCTGGGGTGCTGGCACCCTGGGCCCCAGCCCTGAAAGGGAGGCACAGTCCCTGGGGCTCATAATCAGGACAGGGCAGGTGACCTGCGGGGGAGAGAGGCCTGGGAGGGACAGGACAGCAGGATCGGAACCCTGGAGCCGGGGGCAGGACGGCGTGGGAGGAGCAGGGTGGTGGTGGCGCCCGGCAAGAAGCAGCATTTCCCACAGTGCCTGCCGTGAAAGGCTGGCTCGGAGTGCAGTGATTGGGACGTGGTAGAGTCCCTCTCATCCCTGGGGATACATTCCAAGAGCCCCAGGAGCTGTTTGAAATGAAACCCTGTATGTGTTCTTTTTTCCTGTGCATTTTTACCTGTGATCACATTGAATTCAAAGTTAGGTGTGGTGTCACCCACCTGGAATCCTAGCATTTTGGGAGGCTGAGGCAGGAGGATTACAAGTTTGAACAGAGCCTGAGGAACTTGGCAACTTAGTGAGACCCTGTCTCAAAGTAAAACATGGAAAGAAGCCTGGGGATGTAGCTCAGTGCCAAGGCCCTGGGTTCAATTCCCTGTACCCTCCCCCAAAATATATATCGATTAGGTTCGTAAGAAATTAATACTAGCATATTTTTAGGGCCACAGTTGAACAGAGGTAACTGAGGCGGCGGGATAAGGGGACAATATCTGTAAAATCCTGGGGACAGCAAGATGCCTGGGTTTGGAGTAGATCGGGGGTGTGTGTGGTGATGGTCGGATCCCTGGCGGCTGGCGGGAGCTCTGGGTCAGGACCCAGATGCACAGCAAAGCACCAGTCCCAGGCGGTGGCCCGACGTCTGAGGCCCCGGATGCTGAGCCCCTGGGTTTTATTGCTGGCGCCTCTCTGTAAAGAGACGAGGACCTGGAGGCCGGGTCACAGGCCTCTGTGGCTGAGTGTGACCAGGATCCAGAGGGGCCGCTGGAGGGGGACAGGACGGCTCACACCCATTTCCCCCGCCAGCATGGCACCCTGGGTAGTGGCCGATCGTCAGACAAAGGGCCGTCCTGGTCCAGCCGCTCCCTCGGTGCGCGCTGCCGAAACTCCATCGCCTCCTGCCCGGAGGAGCAGCCCCACGTGGGCAACTACCGCCTGCTGAGGACCATCGGGAAGGGCAACTTCGCCAAAGTCAAGCTGGCCCGGCACATTCTCACTGGCCGGGAGGTGAGTGCAGGGCTGTGGGGCGGCCCGCGCTGGCTCTGGGCCGCAGGAGGGTCCCTGGGTCTCGAGGTCTCTCCCAGAGAACCCCGTGGGGAAGGAGCCCCTTTGAGGTCACCGTGAAGGGAGCGGGAAGCCTCAGCTCGGGACAGGGAAGGGGCTGCATTTCCGAGAGGCCCCCGGTCTTGGGGCGCAGCTGGGCCGCCTCCGGCAGGACTCACAGCTCCTCTCCCCGCGTCCTCCTCAGATGCACAGGGCTCCGCCCCCAGAGCAGGCGTCTGGGCTGGACAGCACTGTCATTGCAGGAAGGGCCGCGCAGACCCTCGACGCAGATGGGGGGCCTCGCAATTTCTTCTGCTCCCCTTCAACTGGAAAGAGTGACTGAAGTAGTCCCCTGCCTCAAGTGGCCCTTCCTATGCCGGGAGACTGTCTGAGCCAAGCACAGAAAAGACACCAGGCCCCGATGCTTTTATGGGCAAACTCTTACTGAACATTTAAATGTTAATGCCAGTTTTTTATTTTGTTGTTGTTGATTTTTTGAGACAGGATCTTGCTGTGTAATTCAGGCTAGCCTTGAAATCACAGCAGTCATCCTGCCTCAGCCTCCCAAGTGCTGGATCACAGGTGTGTGCCGCCACACCCAGCTGCCAGCTCCCACAGAGACTAAAGGAGATAGATTCAGTGCCAGCTGATTTTTATTTCCACTTTAGTCATAAGAGCAAACCAGACAAGAAAGAAAACTGACCCAGGCTTGGTGGCACGGCACTCAGCTCTCAGGAGGCTGAGGCAGGAGGATCGCTGTGAGTTCGAGATGGGGGGGTCTCACTGTTGCTCACGCTGGCCTCAAACCAAAAATCTGAAACAGAATATTAGCAGATAGACTGGCAAATGGGTTAAAGCAAGCCCTGTGATGACAGAGCTGGGTTTGTCCCCGGAATGCAAAGTTCTTTCCATTTGACAATTTATTCATGTGCTTCACCACGTTCACAGATTAAGAGCGAAACCATATGATCGTCTCAATACTGGCATAAAACATGTTTGACGAAATTTTAAAAAAATCCATCGGTGAGAATATGAGGAAGGCGAAGGGACCCTCTCCCCCGCAGGGAACACAGCGTGTGCCGTATGTGGATCTTGCCTAGGGTTCCAGAGGTTTCCGAGGACCGGATCCTGAGGGAGCAGGGCCCCCAGGGGAGAGTTTTTAATCCAGTGGGTCTGAGGGGCCCTGGGGTAGTTCCAAAACCCTAGGGCTGGGTTGAGACTCTCCTTTTCTTCACAATACTGGGGTTGTCTACCACTGAGCTACACCCTCGGCTCTTTTGAGACAGGGTCTCCCTTGTCATACAGGCTGGGCTTGAAGGTGCAATTTTCCTACCTCAGACTCCTGATCGCTCTGTTCCAGGCATGCTCTACTGCACCCTGCTAGATCTACACTTTTAAAGCTGCTTGCTACTGGAAAACTTTTAAACCACCCCGTGCCTCAGTTCCTCTGCTTGTGAATGGGAATAATCTTTGGCCTCATCTTAGAGATTTGGGATGAGGATGAAGGAGCTCTCACTTGTACAGCACATAGCTCAACAAAGGGCTGGGCATGGAGTTCAGTGGCACTGCGCCTGCCTGGCAAGATCCTGAGTTCTATTCTCAGTACCGGGGGAAAGAGAAAAAAACCAAAAGGCTATCTTTGAACGGTCAGCAAATGTTAGCCCATTACTATTTGCTATTCCGGTTTGTAGGTTCAAAACAAAGATGTGTCGGATAAATGATCTGCATTTCCCTCACAAGGGGACCCCCTTGAGATCTTGGTCACCCTGGTAGGTGCAATAGTGTACACCTGTAACCCCAGCTTCTTGGGAGGCTGAGGCAGGAGAATAGCAAGTTTGAGGAAACTGTCTTAAAAGGGGCTGGAGATGTAGCTTACAGGGAGAGTACCTGCCTAGCACACACAAGAGCCCAAGTTCGATCCCTAGCACACCCCCCACCCCTGTGGCAAATAAAGATCTCAGTCACCTCACATACTTACTTGATCCTCAGGAGTGGAGGAGCCACATGTGCAAAAGCCCTGGGGCCCAGATGGCGAGGTTTTCCAGAAACTGCCTACGGAAACTTGACTTTTTCTCTCTTTCCCTCCTTTCCTTCCTTTATCCACCTCTAGGTTGCCATCAAGATCATCGATAAAACCCAGCTGAACCCCAGCAGTCTACAGAAGGTGAGACCCAGGGAGGGGAGCAGGGTGGGAACAAACCCACTCGACCCCTTCTGCCTGGGCCTTGTGGTGGTGGGGATCCCCAAAACCGTTCACCCTCGTTCTGTCTTCCTTTCCGGCCTGGCACAGCTCTTCCGGGAGGTTCGCATCATGAAGGGCCTAAACCACCCCAACATCGGTGAGGAGGGGCGGGAGTGCAAGGGAGGGGGAGCCGGGGAGCAGCACAGGGACCTGGTTCTGGCCCTCAGGGACCTGAGTGCTGTCACAGCTGTGTGACTCAGGCAAGTCACTTACCCTCTCTGGGCCTCCGTTTCCTCTTCGGAGTGAGGGTAATACCAGGACCCATTTCAAGGTCAAGGTCATTGGGAGGATGGAATAAGATCGCGCATCTAAAAGGCTTCCCTCACAGCCGAGCTGTGGGATCTGGTCTGGTTTTTTGTATATTGTTGTTATTGTTAGGTCAGGTGGGAGGAAGCGGGTTTTGCCGGACCTGGATGTGGGGCAGCGTTTGTTCTCTCAGCCATTTCTCTTACTCGGTAAAAATGTACCGCACAGCCGCTGTGTGCCAGGTGCTGTGGACAAAGGGGAAAAGCAGGTACAGCCAGGCGTGGTGGTGCATGCCCTCCCCGCACTCCGGAGGCTGAGCGGGAGGGTCACCATGAGTTCAAGGCCAGCTTGGACCACGGGGAGACCCTGCTTTAGAAAGGGGGCGGTGCAGGTCCCTGGTCTCACTGAGCTGACACTTGTGAGAAGACCCACCATAGGCAAGGTGCTAAAGAGGGCAGAGCAGCCTGGAACGTCTACAGCCACGGAAGAGTCTCGAGCAGAGTGTTACTAAGCCGGCGGGGGCGGAGGGCTGGCCTCTTGCCCCTGACCCTGCACCCTTCCCTCCTGCCTCGGCAGTGAAGCTCTTCGAGGTGA